GTCGTCCACGTTTAAGAAAGCTACACATGATAGTGACAATAGCAGGTGGAGTGAAACCATGGATGAAAAAATATAATCTCTTCAGAAGAATCGTACTTGGGATCACGTGAAGTTACCTAAAGGCAAGAGAGCCATTGGTTGTAAATAGTTTTATAAGAAGAAAGATGGGTCACCTGAGACTGCCGGTAATCAGTTTAATACACGTTTGGTTGTAAAAGGCTATGCACAGAAAGAAGGTGTTGAATATAATGAGATTTTCTTTCAAATTATGAAATACACTTCTATTCGAGTAATGCTAACGATGGTTACATTGTTTGATTTGGATTAGAGCAACGTGATATCAAGACTGCATTCCTTCATGGAGAGTTAGAAGAACAAATTTATATGACTCAGCTAAAAAGGTTTGTTGTTAAAGGAAATGAGGACCATGTTTGCAAGCTGAAAAAATCATTGTACCGCCCAAAGTAGTCTCTTAAGTAGTGGTACAAGCACTTTGATACATTCATGATTGGACACAGGTATGTCAGAAGTAAGTACGACAATTGTGTCTATTTTAAGAGATTTACTATGGTTCGTTTTTCTATTTATTGCTTTACATAGATGATATGCTTATTGCAGCGAAGAATTCTTCAAAAATCAGTAAATTGAAGACTCAGCTTTCCAGAAAATTTGAAATGAAATATTTAAATTAGCAAAGAAAATTTTGGGTATGGAGATACGTAAAGATCGAAAGTTGGATAAATTATGGCTATCTCAGAAGGAGCACATTGAGAATGTCCTTGTTAGATTTGGGATGAAAAATTCAAAGCTCGTGAGTACTCCTCTTGCTGCACGTTTCAGATTGTCGGCAACATTATCTTCAAGTTCAAATGCTGAAAAAAAAAAAATGTCACGTGTTCCTTATGCGAGTGCAGTTGGAAGCCTCATATATGCAATGGTTTGCAGTCGATCAGATATTTTTCATGCAATTAGTGTTATCATCAAGTATATGGTTAATCCAGGAATTGAGCATTGACATGCAGTAAAATGTATTATGCGCTACCTAAGGGGTACATTAGATGTGGGTCTGGTATTTGTTAGAGATAACAAGTTTGGTGATAAGGTTGTTGGTTATGTTGATGCTCACTTTGTAGGTGATTTAGACTGTAAGAGATTTACTACAGGTTATGTGTTTACACTTGTAAGAGCTTAAATCAGTTGAAGGTCGATGCTACAAATTGTAGTTGCCTTGTCTACATTTGAAGCATAGTACATGACAGTTACTAAGGCAGTGAAAAAAGTCATTTGGCTTAAGGAGCTTGTAAGCGATTTGGGCTTATGACAAGATGAAACTATTATTTATTGTGCTAGTTAGAGTGTAATACATTTGGCAAAAACCAAGTATATCATGCAAGAATGAAACATATTGATGTCAAATACCAATTTATCCGTGAGATCATATCTGATGGTGATATCTTATTACAGAAGATTGATACTAAGAAGAATGATGCAGATATGTTGACAAATGTGATTCCATTACAAAAGTTTAAGCTATGTTTAGACTTAACTAATGTGTTGCCAAGGTAAGCACCTATGGGGGTGCGTGTGGAAACGAAGGTCGATGGAAATCTCTTTTGAAATTCAAACTAAGGTGAATATTTGTTGATATTTATCTGGAATTCTTGAATCCCTAATTTTAAAGGATTGGTTTTCTTTAATTTAGATTTTCTATTTATTTGGGTAGAGCCTATTATATAGGATCTAAATTTATGGATAAGTCATACTTAGATTAAGATGGGACTTTAGGTCCACAAGTAGATAGAGATAAAGTTAAGTTTCCTAACTTTATGGGAAAAGATAAAGTCCATAGAATACCTCTTTGGGGTTTGTTTTTTCTATACAATGAGTTATTTAGAGAGAGAAAAAGATCTAGAAAAATAGAGAGAAACTTTTGGGGGTTTTTTCAAAGAGAAAAAATTGTAGAGAAGAAGGCTTTGAAGGAGATTGAGCCTCTGGTTCTCTCAAGCAAGTTGTCTTGTAATTTTCTTTCCTTGATTTAGTGAAAAATATCTATCGCTTTCACCCATGGATGTAGTCACATCTATGACGAACCACATAAATCCAGGTGTTTTTTTCTGTTATTTATTTCCTGCTTTATTTTTGTTGCTTGTTACTTATTGTTTGTTTTTGTCGATTCTTTTTTTTTATGCTTTATTTGCCAAAAATCAACTCATCGGGTTTAGAGCTTTCGCGCACAACATCTTTGTGCCCCCTCTGATATCTGTTTTACTAAATGGCCCATATAATGGTGGGAGCTGAGACTTTTCAAATCTTAGCCATGTATTTCTTTGTGAATTCATGGAAGAATATGAATATCATGGATAGAGAAAAATGATACAGAATTTCATAAATGGCTTTATCTTCTCAGCTCCTAAAAGTAATGCTTATGGCAACCACATTAGCATGGTCGAAGCACCCGAAGGAACCAGTGGAGTTAGTGGTAAAGATTTGGCTACCAATTCAAGGAAATATTCTAGCTATGCATTCGAGAACAGGAAATCAAATGTTAAATGTCTGGGAATCACCATGGGCTGCCTGGAATTGAAATTTGATGGTAGCAGTCATGGGTGGAGTTAATGGAGTGCTACATTTTTAGGGAAATGAGATTTTCACTTAGGATCAATCAAAACTTGCTCTACAAGTTAGGCAGAATGTAGAATAGTTTTGGAATGATTAAAACTTTAAAATGATTGAACGGAATTGATTATTGCAAAGGATAAAAAAAATTCAGTCGGTTCAATAAGAGGAGAGTAACAGAGTCCATCTAAGGCCCGGAATTTGCATATCACATTTAACCATGTGTATAGAATCTGCCGTTGCCTGTCTTAAGCTTGGATGAGAAATGAGTGTTGTATTAGGTTGACAGCCAACATAAAATTTTTGCTACATCTCTATAATCATCAGCCGAGCTGATCCCAATTAGCTTACCCCAACTAATTGGGATTGGCTCAATGGGGTTGACTCGACCGATGATGATTTAACCATGTGTACAGAGAAAAGATTGTCTTGCTTAAACATTGGGCACGTGAAACTAAATGACAGTAATCAGATTTGGATTTTGTACCTGTGAAGAGAAGTTTTTGTAAATACAAACGTACATGTACATCAATTTTGATAGTTAATGAAATTGCATGCCGATTTAAAGGGGGAAAATTCACAGCTGTAGGTTACTCGAGGGAACAAATATACATTTCTTTATGCGGTGGAATAGAAACTTGAGGTCAAAATAGTTTGAAATTTGTCGATTCTATATGGATCTTGCTTTTAATGTTCCTTGACATCCCTTTAATTGTGGGACACCTTGAAGTTGGGCTTAACCTAGACAAGGTTCTAATGCTAGACCCAAGTAGGGGTGGGAACGGGTCAGGTCAAGTCCGGGCCCGACTAGTTATCAGTTGGACGGACTTGATCCACTTAGACGTGATCCATCGGGTTGGATCTAGTCTCAATCTATAAGTAAAAAATATAATATATATTGTATATTGTATATTGTATATTTATAATTATTAATTGTATTTACAGTAATTAGATTTTAAAAAATGATGATCCAGATCATACTGAGCGATCTGGATAGGGAACATGAGGGGTTGGCTCAATTCTCTCAAATATCGGGAACCAGCCGGTTCCCTCTAGGAACCAGGCCCATATTTTATTTTTTCAAAATTTTCAATTTTTTATTCCCTAATATTTTTAAAAAACTTTTTATTGGACGTTTCACTTGGTTGAATCACCGATTCGGACTGCTAATCTGCCAAATTGGACCGGTGTTCTGGATGCCTGATCTAGTCATCGATCCATTATTTTAGACCTTGATACATAGCTAGACCCAGATCGAATCCGACATGGGATGGGTCAAAATCAAATGGACCCAAACCCGATTTGTTGGGTCCAAAATCTGGATCCAGACACGAACCTAGATCCAATGGTCGACCTGACCCAATTTCCACCCCTCGATGCAACCAAGCTCTTTCCTTAAAAAATTAACCAACCCAACGATCTATCTAATCCCTTCATATCTGTAAATGGGTTGTTCAAGTGGTCCAATCCAAACAATTAGGCAGTATAAATAAAATCCAAATTTAAACATTCAAATTAAGGCACACCTTCAAATTTTATTATAACATGTAATTTTGGTGTAAATTTTTTAGGATTATCTAAAAATATATTTCCATATCTAATTATAAAATTTTAAACTCCAAAAATGGTTAAAATCATGTAGATCTATAAACATGTGAAAATCTTCAAAATGGACAGTCTAGATAATGTGTTGAAAGATGTACTATTTTTGGGGCTCAAAATATTTTTTTTTACACATTCATACATCTAGATGTCGAGATGATCAATTAAAAGGTCTTTCAACATTAAAACAACTTTTTCCGATAAATTTTTGAGGTACATATATAATTCTACATTTTAAGGTTGCAACCTTATATAAACAATTTCCCTTATTTAAATACTATAACTAAAAATATATAGTTACATTTATTTAAATATTAAGTAAATATTATTAAAATATGAGTAATAATCCTATCGGACTCTCTTCTATCCATGTGTGTAGGACCTCAAAGGATTATCATTAAAATTGGCATGAATCTCTAAAAAAATTATCACATGGATGTGAGAGTTGACTTTTCTATAGATCCGTGCCAAATTTAATAGTGATCGTTTGAGATCCTACACATACGAAGGGTCCTATAGGATCATTTCTCTTAAAATATTATTTATATAATAATATTATTTAAATCGAATCGAGATATGAGGCCCGGTCCCAATCCATTGCCACCCCACCACCCAACATGGTTCGTCACGGAAGTTGTATCACATGGCTTGAAATCACGCCATCCACGTTCTAGCTAATTCAGAGAAGGGTGATCCACGTTTCGATCGGTGGCATCTCATTGTGCTGTGTATTATGGGTTTAAGTAGGACTCCCTATGTTCTCTTGCAGAGTGTGAGTGGCCATGTCGCCAGCGGCCTCAGCCCCCTTTCACTCTACTGTCTTCCCTTCTCACCCTTCCCTGGTGGAGCGTTACGACCTCACACCATGGGACTTGGCCATGCTTACGACCCACTATATCCAGCACGGTCTCCTCTTTGGCAAGCCCCATTTGTCCATTCACTCTGTGCTCGATGCCGTCAAGGCCTCGCTTGCCGACTGCCTCTCGCACTTCTTCTCTCTGGCAAGGCGCCTGGCCACAGATGCTAACGGCTTGATCTACATCCATTGCAATGACGCCGGCACCCATTTCATCCATGCCAGAGCAACTCACCTCACAATTGATGATGTTGTTTCGACTCCCTATGTTTCCCAAGCTGTTAAGTCCTTTTTTGCCCTCGATTTTGTTATCAGCTATGAAGGGTATGGCCTACCTTTGCTCGTTGTTCAGGTAACCTTCTTCCCTCTCTCGTTCGATCTCTCGATACACAAAAAAAGAAAACATTTATCTTACGTAGATGGAGGTCACAATCACTTCTGCTCCTTAAATTTCAAAATTAGTAGTTGTAAAAGTGTCATTAGACAGATATAAAGCTCCAAAAATAATTTTCGAACTTCGTGACTCACTCCAAACCATCATATTTGACATTAATAAGAGAGAATGAATGTGATATTTCAATGTTACAAAAAACCATAAAAATGATTTTTTAATTAGACAAGTCCGATATATATCAAGTCGTGGGAGGG